TTTTCTCCCCACTATTAATACGGAGGAAGATAAGATGCAAAGCAACGGCTCTGATTCGCAGCCGCAGGAGCCAAATCAACGGCTCCAACAGCCGCAGCAGTGGATGCCAATGCAGTATCCGCCGGCGGCGATGGTAATGCCGCCCCATATGATGACGCCGCAGCCTTACATGCCGCCGCCCTTGCCGCCGCAGTATATGCATTATCACCACCAATATCAGCATCACCATCTCCCTATACAGCATTCCCAGCCTCTACAGGGATCTGGCGGCGAAAACAAGACGATTTGGGTCGGCGACTTGCACCATTGGATGGATGAGAGTTACCTCCATAACTGCTTTGCTTCCATCGGCGAGGTCCAAATTCTTCTTTTCGTTAACTAATCTTTTACGTTTATATGCGTTGATAGTTAGACGATGAATATGTGACCATTCACTATCTGTACATTAGTAGCCGAATGAGTCGTTACGATTGAAATTATTTGCTGGCCTGCCGGAAAGATTCATTTATTTTTCCGATTCATTATTATAGATGAATACGTCTACTTATAGATTTCTTGTTCTGGTCTTTCTTAATTTTGGAACATTCTTGTTTTGGAATTTGAACTCAAAACTGAATGATTATCGAATAATTGGGTTGGATTTTTTTATAAATGTTTTTGCTACCTTTAAGGGAGTTAGAATTTATTGGAGTTATCTCTTGAGATTTATTTACGTTTTCTGATGTTGGAAGGCTTCAGAAGAATTTGCTTAAGAATGCAGCAGAGCAGTATATTTTGTTAATCTTTTTTGGAATTGAAAAAATTTCAACGAGACTTGGTATCTGGTAAAGTAACATAGAAGTATAGTTTAGACTCTTAGTTATGTTTCTTTCCTCTCAAATTTACCATATATTGAATATTGTGAAAAGGATATGAAAAAATATTCTGTACTGTTTCAATTTCATTCCTATTGGTTGGGTGATATACACAATGCTCACTAGACTTATTTTATTAATAAATGGAGGATCACATTCGCTATTAATTGACATTGACATTTTATTGCACCTTTTATTTTGGAGGTTTTGTTTAGATTTTTATATTTGTTGTTTGTATCTCCAGATATGTACAGGGATGTACATGGATATGATTACTTCTAATGAAATCATCCTTGGCATACCCAAACAATCTTTTTTTAATATAACAATCTTCAATTGTTATTAGGTTGGCATGATCGTGCTGAGCATAGTTTGTTCTGTTTCTGTATGATGCAGATTTCATCTATCAAGGTTATTCGTAATAAGCAAACTGGTTTGTCTGAGGGGTATGGATTTGTAGAATTTTTTGCTCATGCAACAGCTGAGAAAGCTCTTCAGAACTATTCTGGAATGTTTATGCCAAATACAGAGCAGGCTTTCCGCCTGAATTGGGCGACATTTAGCACGGGTGACAAGCGATCTGACAATGATCCCGATCTTTCAATCTTCGTCGGAGACTTAGCTGCAGATGTTACTGATACTTTGTTGTATGAAACTTTTTCTAGTAAATTTCCTTCTGTTAAAGCTGCAAAAGTTGTCATTGATGCCAACACTGGTCGATCAAAGGGTTATGGTTTTGTAAGGTTTGGAGATGATAATGAGAGGTCTCAGGCCATGACTGAAATGAATGGTGTTTATTGTTCAAGCAGACCTATGCGCATTGGTGCAGCAACACCTAGAAAGTCTTCTGGATACCAGCAACAATATTCTTCACAAGGTATATTTAAATATTTTTGGAGTTGAAATACTGTGGGAAGTTACAATATAGTGTGCTTAACCTAAAACCACTTCAAAGAGTGATTGGTTTTTGGAGGGTGAGCAATTCTGGAATAAATAAAAATATGGAAGTCTTTATTTTTCCCCTGGAATTTGATTCAAGACCTTGGGATTACAAATGTTTACTAAAAAGTCTATATTTATTTTATATTCTTTTGTTGGGTGTGGGGGTTATGTATCAAAAGAGTTGTGATTCATTTCCTGTTAAAAAAATAACAAAGAAGAATAAATGGGTTTTCGACTCAATTAGTTTTGGAGTTTGATTTTATTTTTGTCCTTAGGAATGTTGTTGAAGTTCATGTTCGTGTGTCAAACATTAATGTTAGACAGCAAAAGGCATCTGACTAATTTGTTCATATCTTTTTGCAAGCTTTCCTTTATATAGACCTACTTTTTGTATACTTGCAATGATGAAGACTGAAGTGGTGTCCGGTCAAACAGAGGTTGCAAGTTTGTCTATTTCTTCCCTAGAATTCATGCTGAATATATATAGCATCTATATGTTAGTCTTTCATTTTTAGATATCAAATAATTTATTGCTAATGCCACGTATTTATTTAAGCTATTTGTTTCTGGAGTTATCTTATCAATAAGGTAGGCCCTCCAAATTTTTTCATTAGTAAGTTTTGAATTGTGGCTGTAAGCTTGGATATATTTGCTGTCAATCTTCCTCAAGGAAAAGTAGTTCTTAAATAGCATCTCCATAGAATGTAACCTTTGGTAATCAGTGTCAGTTTGCATACAACTCAATTTACTCTTCACATTTCATACCAAATGAAACAATTTTAAGGATCTAATTCTTTGAATGTCTGTGCTTTTGGGGTTTACTCATGGATTCCCTACCCGTTGGGACTGCTTATACATTTCTGTGCTCTGATTTTTGTAGGAGGATATTCTTCAAATGGTTCCTTTAGCCAAGGTCTCCAATCTGAAGGAGATTCTGCAAATACAACAGTGAGTTGCTTTCATCGTTTTTATTTGCACAAGCTAGTGATTCCACCTATTCTAGGGTTAATCCTAGTTTTCATTTAGATATTTGTTGGAGGGCTCGATCCTAACGTCACTGATGAAGATCTGAGGCAGCCTTTCTCGCAGTATGGTGAGATAGTCTCTGTTAAAATTCCAGTTGGTAAAGGATGTGGGTTTGTCCAATTCGCCAACAGGTAAACGTTTTGTAACCAGTAGTATTTGGTTATCTGTTTCGCTTCTTTATTGAGATATTGACTTCCAGGCACATATACTTATTAATTTTCCCCTGCAGAAATGATGCCGAAGAGGCTTTGCAGAAACTAAATGGAACTGTAATTGGCAAGCAAACTGTTCGTCTATCTTGGGGCCGAAATCCGGCAAATAAGCAGGCAAATTACCCTCCTCTCCAACTGTGAAATGATAACAAAAAACCTATGCATGACTGTCTCAATTTCCACGACTTCCCTGAAGGGGAAGAAGAAGAAATCGACTAAAATTAGCTGTTCTTACAACTTTGGTCTATGAACTCTCATGTTTATTTGTTTTATCTGGTAACTCTTGTGGTTCCACATGTCGGTTATGGTGCTAAATTTGAACACACTAGCGTAGGAACGTTCAGTTCTCATTGCTTTTTGTCATTCGAAGTGTTCGGTTTACTTGGATTAAACAAACTTTAACAGTTTTTTTTCCTTGCATTTGTTTGAGGTTTGGCAGTTCAGAGATTTCGGGAACCAGTGGAATGGAGCTTACTATGGAGGGCACATGTATGATGGCTATGGATATGGTCTGCCTCCTCATGATCCAAGTATGTACCACGCAGCTTATGGAGCTTACCCTGTCTATGGAAGCCATCAACAACAAGTAATCTGAACACACCAATCTTTAATCAATCCTTAGGCACTTTCCAAGTAGAAACAGCTGAAGTTGCTTCAGCTTCTGGAATTCACTTGGGTTTTTTTTCTTTCTTTTTTTAATAGATATTTTTCCATATTAATCCGCCTTCCATCTGCGTAGTGGAACTGAATTTTGATGACCTAAGCTAGTTCTCTCATCTCGTAGGGATATTTATATATTCATTTCATTTAGATTATTACTGAAAACTGATGACGAACTTATTATTAGATTATATATAATCCCGCGTTAGTGCATGCATGATATTGTGGCACCTTGGTATGCTTATACTTTAGTCAAGTCATTGATTTTCATTCAAATTCATTTTTCAATGTATAATTGGAAAATATAGTTTCGAATTTTCGACCTTCCGAAATAAGGGTTTGTTTCAATTATAAATTTTAGTGAGAATTTTGGATGCCTCGTGTCTATGGCATCTAGATTATTTTTGTGAGATTGATATATTTGTTTCGGTTTCATGTTTTTCTTTGGGCTTCAGTGTCTAAAAGACTTTTGTTTGATATTAAGGATCAATTAATACATACAATAAATTTGATTTTGGGCAGATAGATATTATGGACTTTTTTTTTTCTTAGTACAACATGTAGGCTGGAAGATCGAACTTATAACTTTTTGGTTTGATATATATGTCAATTACTGTTGAATTATGATCACTTTTGACATATTATCTGACTTCGTTTCTAAAATAGTGACTAGTGACGATGATAATAATATAGCATAAATACAAAATGTGATATAGATTAAAGACTTATATTTCTATGTAGACTTGAACTAGTTTTCTCTGTTGGTATCTACTCCTTTTTGTTTGGACCAGTTCTTCCAGCACGCCTCTAGAGGTGTCTTTTGGCTGTTACTAATTTGAGTGGTATTTGCCCACCCTATCCAATTATCTATAGGAGTGTTCTCGGGGTGGGAATCAAAATTTTCTGTCCATCTTATTCACCATCCCCACAAAATTCTTCACAAAATTTTTACGGAGATTGAGGCAAAAATTCCTCAACGAGAACTCGTGGGAATTCGGGTCTTCGGGAGGAATTAGTTCTCGTTTAGTTGCTTTTAATAGAAAATTTTCAATTAAATGTTAATTCTCTATGAGGATTCCTATTTTCATAACTACATTCTCTTGAAATTTTTATTTAAAAGAGTAATTTCTTTAAAAAAAAATATCTTAAAATTTAAATTTCACAATTTAGAAAAGTCTGTAAATATCACAATAATATCTAGTAAATTTTATATTACAAATATTTACATTTAGGGTTTATATATCTATATAAAATATTTCCATCCCCAGAAAAGTAACATTCTCAATTACCTATAAATTTGAATCTCAAAATTTCTAGTTTTTTAATTATTTAGCTATACTTAGATTGGTTTTCTTAGTTTTTCGAGTATTATCTACTTGTCCACATAATATTCTTTTTATTTCACATCTAGTCTTTTTAAAATGTCAATTGAATAATAATTACCTACATACCAATCACTAGAGTTCCTACACTATTCCTATTGCATTTAATGGGTGAGTGGGTTTCACTCACTAAAAACCTTTAAAATTTTTAGCCAGTCAAAATAGGCCACATTGGAAAATTAGTAGGAATAACCACTAGTGTGTAGGCAAGTGGTTGGGTAAGTATTTTCTATTTCAATTTCATTGTGGTCTTTCAATTGAATTTGTAGTTGGATTATATGATAACCTATGCATAACCATGTGATTGGGATATTTTCTACTTTCTTTAGTTATAAGTTTTAAATCCTCATTTCCGTATGTGTGATGTAAAATAATTGAGAAATGAGCACGAAAGATTGTTCTCGTTTAAAAATGAGCATGCACCTGTCGAATGTTTTATGAAATTGTCCATATTTTAATGAAAAAATGTTAAATATCTACTCATAAAATGAAAAATTCATAGACTTCAACTCATACACATTTGAAACCATCGATAGAATTATCTACGACAGAAATTTAATATACCGACGATATCCGAGTCCCATAAGATTCCGAAGTGAGATGGGAAGACATGGACTTTGTTGGTGGCCAACTTCCTTTATACGCAAAAGCAGCGACTTTGGAAGGGCGAATCAATCGTGGAGAGGATTGAGCACAGCAGCAGCCACATAATTGAAAAGGAGGGACCAAAAACGAAACTTGATGAAGGCTGCCAAATCAAAAGAAAAGAAAAGAAAAGAAAACAGTGTTGAACGAAGTTGAAGCCTATTTGGATTTGTGTGTTGTGTTTCGATGGAACTGTAAAAGAGGCTTTTTAGATGGTAGCTGCCTCTGCCACGTCGCTGTTTGTCGCACCTCCGCCACGTCCCCACGGCAGCGGCAGCGCCAGAGTAAAGCAAAAGGGGCTCCTCGTAGCCCCACGGCATGGCGTTTAAGCACGGCCCCGGTCTTCCAAAAATTATTGGCAGCCATTTCCTATATTTCTTATCTTACTTTCGGGTTTGGTTTATTTTGATCCATATACTTTCAAAATATCTATTTGATTTTGTTTATTTTATATAATCGTTCATTTTGTTTCTTGTCTTAAAAAAAGTGACAATTTCTGTTCTTATTTGCATAACATGAATTTTGTATACTATATAAACTCTTAAATACAAATATATAGCTACATTTCAAGAAATTTTGCAAATGAAGTGTTCATGCTAAAAGTGTGATGGAAAGAGATAGAGATAAAAATGAAAAAATAAATCGATTGGTATGGTAACTGTTAACAAAAATTGAAAATATAAATACCAAAACAAACATTTTAAAAGCAGAGCAAATACTAGACTTGAAAAACAAAATAGAAAAATTGCATATTTTTTGAAAAATTATAAAAATAAACCATTCATAACACATAAACATTATATATATATATATATATGTGTGTGTGTGGAGATAGAGAATTGAACCTCCAACATTATTTAGGAAATGAGTAAAATGTCTTAACTATTGAACTACGTTCATGTTGACAACATTGACAACATTTTTGTTTTAGTACAACAAATCAACAAGTGGGAGTGAGATTCGAACTCACGACACAACAACCAACCTTACCATAATTTAACATTTTTGTTTCAGGACAACGAGCGAATAAAATGGTGATAAAAGATCTTTGTGTTTGTGGAGTGGAATTTGAAACCGAGCACTACAGTTTATTTATATGCACAAAGTGGAAATTAAGAAGAATAGCAAATGAGGAAAGAAAGGAAATTTACACAAAAACAATAAGAGGACAGAAGCTCTGCCATTTGAGGTACAATGATTTCTTTTAAAGGCCAAAATCATCGACTTCTATTTCATTTTCAAAAAGTGTTCCAAAACCCCAAAAGAAAAGAGAAAAAAGCCTTAGAAGTTGTCCCAAAAGTAGCTGCCTTTATACAACACCATTGCTGGTGGATGATGTGTTTTCTCAAAGAAAGAAAGACCTTTTTTTTGGTGGGTAATTCTAAACTCTTTGGCACCTTACAGTTTGTGCATTCCAATCCTCCTCTTACATTTGAAGTTGAACATATGAGGGAAAAAAAATAGTGTCTATACATTTGTTTTTTTTCTTTTTTTTTGGGTAATACATCATTTTGATTTCTATATAACTTTTGTCTTTTAGGCTCTATATTTTCGAACAATCAATTTGGTCACTCTTTCCTTTACAATTTCAACACAACATCATGCACACTCTATATTTCTTGAAATATAGCCATAACTTTATATTAAAAGGTTCACGTGTATATAATAGACAGATCAAATTAACCAAAGTTGAAAGCAGGAGACCAAAATAATATTTTAACCTTACTTTTTAAAATACATTTCTAAGAATTTTTTACTTTTTAAAAATGCTATTTTTAGACAATTGCTAAGGCATTTAGAAAATTTAACTTTAAACCAGAAAAAATTTAAAGTTAAAACGATCTCACAATACCAAATAATTCACTATCATGAGCATATTATGAACTTTTTACACTAATCTAAACATAATTCAATAGATAAGATATCCATCGGTTATTATATCAAAAGCCGATGATTCGATTAGAGCTTACAGGTGAAACAAACTCTAAATTTATAGACTCACAGCTACATGAGCAAGTATTGGAGACAATCAAATCCCAGTAAATTCTCTCTTTCTTACCCATCTTAAAATAAAGGAAGGGAAAAATACAAATAATTTACAAAGTTGGAAACGGTTTTACCTGAACCCCACATGAAATTTACTGTCTTGTTTGTGTGTGTTGTCTTTTTGAGGTCAGAAAGAGTCCAATTTGACATAAATGAGCGATGAGATTGTTGTCTTTACAAACAGTGCTGAAGCTGAGCTTCCCAAGTACAACCAACTGTGCAACTAAAATTGAAAAATAAGATTTAGATCTCAGTAGGACCTTCTACCTTATTCTATTGCAACGACATCGTCGGTGTAACTAAGTTACACTAAAATTTTCGTCATACGAAACACGTTTGGTTTCCATACTTTTATTGAAGTAACAACTTCGTTTATGTAGTTGTAAACAAGGTAACTCTAACAATTTAGCTGCAAATCTCCAATCGAGAGGTTGTGAGTTCAATCCTCCACTTCCACTCTCACGTATTGTACTATAGACGAAAAAAAGAAAAAAATAAAAAAATCTTAACAATTTAACCCTGCATAATCATTTAGTTCTTGTATTTTAAAATTTGTAAAAAAATCATCGAAATTAAAGGTCAATCTTTATCATATAATGACTCGGTCTTTGTAATTTATAAATATATTTGGTATTTTATCGGTTTATTGATTTAAATATATAAGAAACCTTATTAAATCTTAACAAAAATTTCACAATAAGAACTGAATTGTTACACATTTTAAGCTATAGGAAATAAATTAGTACATCAATTAGTAGAGACTAAATCGTTACAAAATTTGTTATTTCAATGAAAGTAGAGGACCAATAAATCTTTTAATCTATTTTCTTATAATGGTTAATAGCAACCAAAGTATATAGAAAAAAATCTCAACAAAATATCACCAATTTTAATATGCATTTGTATTGATGATTTATAACTTATGAGTTTATGTAATTTTCTAAAAGAATTTAATGAACATCCATACATGAAGGTTGAGATATATTGATAGGTCGTTTTTGAAGTACATGATGTAATATTTGTAAATATTTTTAATTTGTGTTAAAATTTAAAATATTTTGAGTAAGGTTGGTATAGAGGTACTCTAATGGAAGTTGTACTCTCTAGTTGGTAGCTTTTTTTTTTTATTAGAATTTTTGAAATATAATTATTTTAAATAATGGATAAAAATATGATGGTCAATGTTAGTTGATATATCAATTGATTAAGTAATATATTGGACATAAATTCAATAAATAATGGGATTTGTTGATATGGTTACTAAGCTAAAAAAAGAGTATTAAATTGGATTTGTATGAAATGTATATTATTCATTTAGTCAATAAAGTCATGTCCTTCGTTGGTGTTGCAAACCGACACAGACAAAGGAAGGAGACCCACTCCTTTATCAAAGGGAAATTTTAATCTTTTTTTTTTTAATCTTTTTTGCAAAAGGACAATTGTTATTATTTCGGAAAATTTTGTATTTTAGTCTTGAGATTTGTAAATTAATTATTTTTTCTTAGTTTAATCATTGGAATGTAGAAAATAATTTTAAATGGCTATGAGAAGAAGAGGATCATATTGAAAACACGATCAAAGTCCCACGTTAGTTAAATAAGAAGATAAATAAAAGATTATTGATAGATAAAATATGGAGGTGTCCATTATTCCTAATATGGAGGTGCTTACCCTAAGTAACACATTAATACACATATTGAAAGTTATATTATCTATATATAATAATTTTTTTGATACAACACGTAGGGGTGGAGGATCGAACTGACAACCTCGTAGTTGGATGTATATGTCAATCATTGTGAAGCTATGCTCGCTTTGACATCTATATATAATAATTAAAATGAAGGTAACGACAAAAATAATTAATATTTAAAATTTAAGTATTAAAAATAGATATTTTGAAAATTTAATAATTAGAATTAAATAAATCTGAAAATTAGGTACATAATAAATATTCTGAAATCTTTGAAGTGAAAATAAAACAATTTTAAAAGTCAATGGAGTAAAATTTCAGGGAAGTTGAGCTAAAAAAAATGGAGCGAAATTTCACACCAAACAGAAAGCCACAGGATACAAAAAGCTTTCGCGGAGAAATGATAATCAAAATCGTTACGCCTAATATTCTTCCATGAATTTGCATTAATTACAGAAGGATGATTAAGGAACTGCAAAATTTGTTAGGTCGTGGATGCGTCATTGTCCGCTTGTATCTGACGATTTCGCTTTTAAGAATGCTTCGAGTTGCACCAATTCTCCGATTGCTTGCCTTTCTGAAGAATGAGCAGGTAAGAAAACTAAAGTAGCCCTCCTATTCTCATCGTCCTGCAAAATCGCTGTCTGGAATCGAATATGGTAATTGTTCACTCTCCAACTTCAACGACTGCTAGTTAATTTTTGTTAGGAATACAGAAAGAGAGCTTTCCAATTGCTGATATGCTCCGATGAGCCGTGTCGTGCAAATGCGCACAAACTGTTCGACAAAATGAAAATCCGCTCTGGCATCAGAATTGCAGCAGTGGTCACAGTTGAAATGCCTCTGAGAAACTTGTAAACACTTCTGGCTTCCTACTTTCTTCATTATGTGCAGTTTTAATGATTCAAGTACAAAATATTAAAAACTTCATGAAGAACTTTGTTCTTGCAACCCCAGATTAATTCTTTCGGAATTCATATAAGCAGTAGTCCCATCCAAACTGCATTAAAACAGTGCCCCCCCAATTATTTAATGGCTCCCATCCTTGAAGAGATTGTTGCTTTATTACTTTTGTTAATCATAGAGCATTAAAATATTTCTGCTTTGATGTCACTGTCACGTGGTTGTGAGAGCCTGCTTTGAATTTATCAATTTCCTTATTTCCTGAAAGTCCTTTTTTTTATTGTTTTTAGTCGAAAAGTGACCATTTGTATCATGACAGCATCCGTTCCATGTGTAAGTGACAAAATAGCTAAGTTTGCTTTTTAAAAAACAGAGATTGCTTGTTTTTAAAGAAATCAATTGTTTTTGACGTATAAGTTATTGAGGAGCTTGAAGAGACATCGAACATTGCATGAGCAGTGGGGTTCATTTCGAACGCATCAGTTGATTTTTATAGATAAGGGGCTTCATTTGTTATCAATTATCTTTTCTTTATGTACAAGGAAGAAAGTAGGTGGGGAGCATTCTCGAGCGGCATAAATCGGTACTAGGTGAACACTTAGTTTTCTTTCCCCCTTTTCAAGTCAGGTCAAATCCGTTACGGTCCATATTTGAAGAAAATAGCAGAAATGGTTTATATATTTCTTGAATTGAAAGGAATTATTATATTAAACTTCGGTATTAGGTAAGTAATTAAGAATGAGTGCCAATATTATATGTATGATTAAACCAGGCAACTGTTGAGCACTTCTGCTTTGGATCTTCCGAAAGAAGTAAAATGTATTAATTAGTTGGCAAGCATGTGACTTTGGCAGCCTTTGCCGTCAAATTCATTCCTTATAATTATTTTATGCAATCACCTCTCAGCTGTGCTTCCAAAATCACTAACAATCACAACCCACATGGGATTTGGTTTATATTTAACCAATGAAATCTTAATTACTCTGGTTGTACTCTGTTTTTCAGGTTTAATTATATTTGCAATTCTATGCCCAAAAAGAAAGAAAAGAGGGCATAAAAGAAAGGATATAAAGGAGATGGGCTTCGAAAGAGAAGGCACACGTTGTTCCATGATGATGCAGACATGTTGTGGACCATAGAGTTGGATATACAAGAGCTGTTTATGGACATAAAATTTCTGCAAAGGCATTCGTTTTACCTTTCACTCAGTGAGTAACCTCTCTCTCTCTAAGATAATCTTTTCAAGCGGTGGAAGATATGGTAAAGTAACTCCCGAGTCGAGTCGGTAGACCCAGTTGTATGTGGCTGTCACACACAGTATCTTAAATAGACTTCCAAGCCCCCCAGACTCTCAGTATTTGATGTTCCGAAAATAAAGTTTCAAAGTTTGTTTCTTCACACTGATCGAGGAATGTCGAAATTGGGCGGTAAATCTTTGTATTGGTCCTTCTCCATTGAAGCTCTTAGGGATCAATGAAAAAATGAAACTCTTTTCCTCTCAGAAAGGTCTGATCTCTTTTTAAGGCTATTCAATACGCTTCGATCTCTGGATTTGTCTCACTCAATGGGATTATTTTGTTTGACATATTGACATTGAGAAGGTAATTGAGTAGTGAATTGTCTTTGGTGTGATATCCGGCAGTTTTGAAGAGATGGATCGCAAAGGGAGGACAAGGCTGCAGTCTATGAGAGCACCCACGAAGCATGAAAAAGTAATCCTAGCCTTACTTCCAAGTCTAGTGCGTAGTTCTAAGTAGGTTGCTATATTTTCTAACATTGCATGGTTCGAGAAACGGTTTGTCCTGTGGAAGGTCAAAACCATAAAGAAGTTGCCTTCTTCCGTAAAAATTTTAAATCTCAAAACGGGCTCAAGTTTCGGAGGTATGGTGAATGCTGTAAGCAACCGGAAATTCTGCATTTCTGGGTATCTTAGATGAGAATTAAATATGGTTTTTCAAATTTAGTCCAAAGATGGAGGAAGATAATCTGAGTTTTCAACTTACTTTCTTATTCTCTCTAATTTCTTTTTGGGGTTGTATTTCTCTCGGTCTTGAAAAAAATTTTCTGGGAAAGTGGGTTACTACCCTTTTTTTCCTGTCTTGCTCCAGTATTTCCCCTCCAAAGGTGCTAAAGTCATCTCTTTTATTAACATCCGATTGAGTTCTTGATTTATATGATTTCTTCTCCCCGTTATTTTTCTTTTCTTCATACAATCATTCCCACCCATTCTTTCACCTTTGGGCTAGACTCATTCGTGCATTCTACTATGGTAAAAGCTAAATGGTTGAATTCCAAAATGCTTTGAAGGGAAACGTAGATATGCCGGAGGGGAGTCGAACTAATGCGGCAAAAGCAACCACGAGTGGACGGGTTTCAAGCAGAGAGAGAAAAGTAGCTTTACAACAAGACGTATGAACTAAATTTAACGGAGTGTGATCCCAATGAAAATCGCTAATTACTTTATTTTCGGCATTTTGTATTGGGTTTGACATTTTAAATCATCAGGTTGACAAGCTGAAGAAGAAGCTCCGACACGAAGAGAATGTGGGTCGAGCTTTGAAGAGAGCTTTCACCAGACCTCTGGGAGCTTTACCGCGCCTCCCTCCTTTCCTTCCTCCCAATGTACGTAATTTTAAATTCCATAATTCCTTCATTATTTACTGTTTCTTACTGCTCTGCCCATCATTGTTCGCTTCAGACTTTCCTTTTTAGAAAGATTTGAAAGCAATGATAATCGTAATTCAGGGAAGTAGTGAGGAAAATGGATTTATTTAAGTTAGAGAACTGAAGAGGTTTGGTCGGTGAAACTGCCTCAGATCTCATACATTCGAAACCAGAATTATAATGCCAGATTTTTACCTGCCATAGATGCTAGAACTTCTTGCCGAAGTGGCTGTCCTTGAAGAGGAAGTGGTGCGGCTTGAAGAGCTGGTTGTGCATTTCAGGCAGGACCTGTATCAGGAAGCTGTCAACATTTCGTCCTCCAAGAAGAACATGGAGGTTTCCCCGAAAAACAATTCTAAGCAAGTTCAATCGAAACTTTCAGTTCAGAGAATTGGTACTCATGACAAAGCGAAACTTTTTATCTGAATTTAAAGCTATTTGATGAAAAAAATGTCGAATTAGGTTTGCAATTGCCTTCTGTCAGCTAAATAGGCTTTTGAATCTTTTTTCTTTCCCTACTTTCTGTTTCAGATAATGGTCTGGGAGAGGAAAATGAATCACGTACAAATTCGACGAGTAACAACAAGGGATCCTCTCTCCAGAAAACCCATACGATAAGGAATCCAGTAAAGAAACATCAAGTTCATCATAAATCATCAGAGAAACCAGATCCTCCAAAATTACATGTTAGTATAAAATCATCAAAGGTGCCTTCTTCTTATCTTTCATTTTCAGTATTGGCATAAACATATTTTTCTCTTGCTTCCAGTTAGAAAACAGAGTAACAAATCTAGAAAATGCTGAAGCAAGACAACAACGCGCTTCAGGTGACAAGGTAGCTGGTGATGAAAGTCCAAACAATATTTCTGAAAATATTTTGAAATGCTTATCAAGCATTTTATTGAGAATGAGTTCAACCAAGAACAGAGGTGCTACAGAAAGCTTGCATCTCTTCTCAATTGTAACTACCCTACAGAACGAAGAAACAGATTTTCGGGATCCTTATGATATATGTTCAGAATTTGGAATGCAAGACATTGGTCCATATAAGAATGTAAGTACAGTCGAAGCTAGTTCGATCAATACAAAGCGGACAACAAACTCTTTGTTTCTATTTCAAAGATTGAAGTGAGTTTTTGTGCTTTTAATAGTCTTACATCATTTCCATGCTTCTGTTTATGACATTATATGTTAAGTCTAGTCTCTAAAACCGGCACTCAATTTTTTTTTCTAAATTTCAGACTCCTCCTGGGAAAACTTGCTTCTGTCAACTTGCAACGTCTCACGCATCAGGAAAAACTTGCTTTTTGGATCAACATCTACAACTCCTGCATGATAAATGTATAAATTTCTGTGAACTTTTGCTTAAGAGAACCACTACTAGTTAATATGTTAGGATCATCTCATTATCTTTGTGAACGTCTCTTTCTTTTTATTTATTGGCATTCTGTCCTCTACTTTCTTTGGCACATGCGTGAAATTTTTGAGATTGAATTGCTGCAGGCGTTCCTGGAACATGGAATACCGGAGAATCCCGATATGGTTGTTGCATTGATGCAGAAGGTACAGATTATTAATTACTCTTCTGCTCTGCTCCACCTTTATAGCTCAGTTCTCTTTTCATATATTTCAAAATTTTAAATCTCACTCAACGCTTATAATAATAATGCATCTACCAGGCAACAATTAATGTGAGCGGACACTTGTTAAATGCCATAACCATCGAGCATTTCATCTTGAGACTGCCTTATCATTCACAATATGTAAGCTGCTCATTTCAACAATCTATTATGATTTTGAACTTTGAAGTTGTAACAAAAGTAAACATCTCGGTGAATTTGTAATTTAATTTGACAACAGGCTTTCTCAAAGAGCCCAAAATATGATGAGAAGACATTTAGAAGTATTTTTGGCTTGGAGTTATCAGAACCATTGGTTACGTTTGCACTATCATGTGGAAGCTGGTCTTCCCCTGCTGTAAGTTCTTGAACACACCAGTAGATTTCCTGTCTTAACGTCTATTTTCGGTTCAGATTTTATCCAACGGTGAAAAATTGAATAAAACCTTAATATCATTTCCTTTTTCTTCGCATCATAAGCCAGTACTGGTTCAGGATTACATTACTCTTATATTACCTGCAAATCTCTTTTTAGAGAGATTCCGCAATAAATGAAAATCTTTTAATTAATTATCTAGGAAAATATAGAAAGCAACTTAACCCCACATCCAATTATTTCTCAAGTCCTTCCATCCTCTGACTCCACTTGTGATTTCCATGAACTTTTTTGGTAAATGAAGGTGAGAGTATACACAGCATCCCAGGTAGAGAACGAGCTAGAAATAGCAAAACGAGAGTATTTACAAGCCGCAGTTGGAATTTCATCAGTGAAGTTTGGAATCCCAAAGCTGTTGGATTGGTATTTGCTAGACTTTGCCAAAGACTTGGACTCCTTGGTGGACTGGGTGTGCCTTCAACTACCAAGTGAATTAGGAAAAGAAGCAATTAAGTTGATGGAGAGAAGAAGGAACCAGCCTCTTTCTCAGTTTGTTAAAGTAATACCTTATGAGTTTAGTTTTAGATACCTTCTCTGCACATAATGACCCATAGTTCAGATGGTTTTTGTTTTGTGAATGGTTTCTGGAGCAATGGTTAAGAATTAGTAGTACACTGTATGATAGCTATAAAGAATATAGATTTAATGTACAATAAATGTATGCAACAGTAACAGCTCTGCAGTTTGAGGAATTTAAGCACCCCATTTTTAACAGCTGTCTGGTATTGTTAATAGAGACTCATCAAAGCAAATTCCTTCATTCTCTTGTGGGGGAAAAAGTTGATTTTTCCCATTAATTATTCATTTGTTGGGGGGTAGGGGGTGGAAAGAGACAGCAAGAAGATTATTGGATGTATTGGGACATCAAAGAAGAATTTTGCTATGAAACAAACCTTATTGAATTTGAATGACATTAAAGAAATGGGTTGATTTTTGGTTTAAATAATATTTGTCCTTGTATTTTTTATTTGTTTCATTTTGATCTCTATATTTTTAAAATGCCTATTTTGATTATTGTATTTTGAATTTTTGTTTTTTTGTCTTTGTACTTTAAGAACTCATTGTATTCTAAAAAACGACTTATTTAGTCTCTATTTTATAAAATTTTAACATAAATTTTATATACTAGGAAAACTATTTAATACGAGTTTATGATTACTTCTCAAGAAATTTAATGAGTGAAGTATAATACTAAAATACAATAATTAAATAAGACATTTTGAAGTATAGATTACCCATTCAATATTTAAGATGATAAAAATTTGAGAATATAAAGACGAATATAAAAAAAAAACAAAAACAAAGATAACTAGAGTTGAAATAATAGAGATAAAAAAAAGTGTTAAAATCTTGATTTTTAATTTTAAAACAAAGAGAGATTTGTTTTCAATAGAAGTGAGTGCATAAGATGAGTGTGATTTGATGTTGACTTGTGCCAGATGGCATTGATTTGATGGGTTTAAGCAATAAAAAGGACTGCCAACTGTATTTGGCTGTAACGCAGAAAGGGATTTGCTGAAGATGGAATGGAGACAACAACAACATAATATTTACTCATTTAATCACTCTGCCAACTCAGTGTACACGTCATCACTACACAGTTAAAGAAAAGATCACATGTGGCCTTCAGAGCTAACCCTAAACCCTGTTGCTGAAACCCCAAACTTTGTGGGACATAACCTTTAAAATAAATAAATATATATTTTGATGCAGAGAGAACGAAATGTTATTAATACTTTAATCAATTAGTTATTTTAAGCGAACTCAGTGTGCTCCATTGCTTTAACCTAAAACCAAGTAAGTTAAATGTTTCAATTCCAATCCCGAATGTTACAAAAGTTCCACTAAGAACAAAGTTCAGCTAAACAACAAAATAACGACATAAAGTTTGAAATGCTAATGTGATAATATTTTATCAAAGCATATATTTTTTAGTAGGGTAAAATATAGCGTCCTATAAAAGTACTATTGAAGGAAATTTTAATTCAAGTGGAGGGAAATGAATCTTTATGTTAGATACGAGAATGTAGATATTTAATATTACCAGAATTTGGAAAACGGCTGGTACTGTGCTCCAATCTTCCACAATTCTCTGGAAAACTCAACACCCACCAGCCATCCACCAGTAATGAATCACCAGTTTATCTGCAAAGTGAAAGCTGGAAGATTCTGAATGTTAGGTATGTTGAAAGGAATTGTAGCTGAGGGAGAGATTTCAATTTTGTCCTAATCGCAAGAAATTTGAGTCTCATCAAGTGCAGTGGTCCCTGCAATCTTCTTACTTTAAAATGGCCAAATCGCACCCACCAGATGCCACCACACCTATTATGAAAAACAACAACAAAATGCTTAGTGTAATCACTGCACAATACAAATAAAACTAAAAGTTATAGCCTGAGAGTGACCATTCATATCCTTTCCAAGTCTTTTGGTTGGTACCCCATCTCCCTCGCCCGTGACTTGAGAAAGTAAAATGTTGGACCAATGTGTTAAAGACATAAGAATTTCGAAATCTCGTTTGATAGCAGTTTCGTTTTTCAAAGTATGGGCTGAAAGTGTTAAAGAAATTAGACCTTCGAACTCCTATTTGATAGCAGTTTCGTTGAGTCATCGTGGTACCGATATCTTGAATTGTTCTTCTGGAGTCTTCTTGTCGTGTTTTCTTTCCATCTGTTTGAGTTTCTTGAAATGAGGTTCAGTCGTACAGAGAGTTCAAAAGAGGAAAACGGTGAAATGGTTTTTATGTTGGAGGACCCAGTGTTTGATTTTGTTGTCTCGTGAGATTTGATGAACGACAGCATGTGATTGGTCTGTCGTGAAAAATTACCGCCATTCCATTGCAACAGTAGGAGAGTAACTTTTTCTGGCTCAAATCATTAAGGTAAAATACGAGAAAACAGTTGTCGAGGCTTCCTTCTGATCAGGAAACCTTCTGTCTTCAATGGAGGAAGAAAAATAGCTTGAGACCAGAAGCATTCTTCCTGAAAAAGATCAATCAACGAAGCACAAAGAGAAAATATTAGAGAATTCTAAGTTGAACATTCTCTCAAACTCAAAAAATTATGGCTATAAACACGACTTCAATTTTGTTGAAAACTTCTATTCACTTTCTTATTTAGTCACTGAACATTGCTGACTTCAAAATTTTAAAACTTTTACTATGCCATAAGGATCTTATTGGTTCATCAATGAAAACATAATGTGATATTAATTACTATCAAGTATGTAATATCAGTTTGCAGATATCATTTAACCAGACCATCTTCACTCTACTATGCTACACAAAGGTTATGAAGTCACACTTAGCTTGTCGTTGGGAGAGTCAAGTCAAGGCCCTTTTTCTCTTTAATATGTAGATAGGGCCCATGGGTACATGGGTCATTCCTATTGTACAACGACAGTCATGAATATAGTAGAATCCAACAAAAGTTGAATACTAAAAAATTAAGATTTAATAAGTTCAGAAGAAAAATAAAAATAGATTTGTAAATACAAGTAACATCCAAAAACCTTAAATCTTGGTTTGTGAGGCATAGACTTAAACCTAGAAAAGTCTAGATTTGTGTAATCTATATTTTTGGACTGTATATAAGAATTTTGGGCTTGTGTAACTGTTGTTTGATCCCTAGGCTAATTAAACAAGCCTAAACTATGAGTCAAATATGTCCAAAGCTATGTATCTTTTCCGGGTTTGAGGAGAGCCTAGGAGATGAAATTCACAGATAAAAACAGTCAACAAAGTATGGACCTGACAAGGATTGAAATCGGCCCACAAATTCCCAGATTCAGACTTCAGGCTGAGGCCAGTTTACCCACTTGGCCCAACTCGTGTAGCTTACATGACTTGCCAGCTGGTCTCCCATGATCTAATCGAAAGACACGTCAGCTAGAAATAAAATATATGGCAATTCGTTACTTAGCCACCTCATCTAACTAATGGGAAAAATTGGAGCCACCAAGACGCAAAATACAGCGTCATCAAACAACCAAACACAGCCTATAAATTGGAATGCAATAACTAAAATATTCAACCACCTCTTCATCATCTAGAAGAATGATCCAGTCTAAAACGGGGGCTGACCCATTAAACTCTCAAATATTATAAGATATTTTATTAAACACTTCTTCAAAAATCTCCCTCGTTGAATTAATTGCACTCTACTGAAAATTTCTCATTATCTGTTAGAATCTTATTCCCAGATTTTCAACCACTCCTCCCAAGATAATCTTCCTTTTTTTTTTTTTTTCTGTCTGCTTTCATATGAAGTGAATTGTAAACTCAACTACCGGTTGACATTTTAATATTTGAAAATCTAACCTAGTCTGAACTCTTAAATTACATAGAACATAGAAAATCAATTAAACGTTTGGTTACATACTAATATATAAAAAGTTGTACTTATATTATAAGAAAATCAATCTCTACCAAAATAAAATTATTGTCGAGATCAGTCATCATCTACCAAAGTAAAAATATTATTAAGATCAGTCATCATCTACCAAAATAAAAATATTATTGAGATCCGTCATCGTCTCTACTTTCTCATCATAGGTTTGCGCTCAAAAGGAAAAAAATAGTTTCCATTTCGTAATTCTAAAATTAATATTAATGAGATCTACAAGGTACAAGCTAATATAAAAAAAATCACATGAGAAAATAAAGAGATCCAACCTACTACCAAACCTTTTTCCATATTGAACTTTAAATCTGGCAAAGACAATATTCCACAGCCAGAAAAACGTCACCAAGAGGGTAAGGGAGGTACTAAACTAATAAACAAGTTTGATCCATTTTGGAGATGGTGAGAACTAGGAAACAGAAAGTAGGCTGGATTCAATAAGGAGCACTAAATGACAATGTATAGCTTTACCTTCACCTACCAAAAACCACATATTTTTGTCATTCATATGTATTAGTTAGGTGCACAACTTCCATCGACTTGACTGAAAATTTTCTACCTTTTGAAATCAAGTCTCACCATAACAATGTCAATCCTGAATCCAGAAGCCCGCTTTTCCATTGTTTTTCAGAAACAAGATACATGTATTCACACATGCATACAATTATATAAAGAAAAACGTAATGCGTAAGGTATAACAGGAAGTAGCCGTAACTTGCCCATAAAGATGTTACCTCTTTGGTTCTCTTCCTGCGGTCAACAAACTCCGACGATATATTTATTCTCCTCCCCCTTCTTCATCCAAGTAAAATATTGGGAAGTCTAGCTTGCTCCATATTGGATTTGCTTCCCCATCAATCTCGCCTGTCTTCTGTTCAAAAGCGTCACAAAACAAAAAGAAGAGTTAGGAGAAGATGATTAGAATGGAGGTGGTGGTACCATCGCCAAGCAGTATCCATTTCTACAGCGCACCTTCCAGTCCAATGCGCATGTCTGAGTTTTATAGAGACTTTGATGAGTCACAATCTTCCCAAATGGACGAACCAAATGTGGAGGATGATGATTTTGCATTTGATATTTGCCGGCAATTAGAGGCCTCCACACTCTCAGCCGACGAGCTATTTGATGATGGTAAAATCCGACCACTAGAGACACCACCACAATCACCAATTTCTCAACAAAATACAATCTTCCAGAATGCATACGCCACTGAAAGGAAAGATCCATCAGAAACGATAATTGAAAACTCGGAAAAGAAAAAGGAACACAAGAGAGGGAGAGGAAGAAACCCAGCCTTGTCATCCTCAGCATCCCGGAGAGCAGTGAGGTCGCTCTCCCCCAATAGAGTTTGTTCATCTCCATGGGACGAGAAGCAGCCTTCACGAAACAACGTCGGACAGCTGAAGTTGATTTCAGGATCTCCTTCTGCTACTGATGCCAATTCTAATACCACCTCATCCAAGGGTAGTAAAAGATGGAGATTAAAGGATCTGTTTCGAAGTGCATCTGAAGGACGAGGAACTGGAAAAGATCCTCTAAGGAAATACTCAACCTTATACAAGAAACAGGAAGAACTAAAGAAGACAAGCTCCAAAGCTAACAATAGCAGAGGTGGACCGGTTTCAATTTATGAGCCGTATTTTTCATTGAATAGAGCAGCATCAGAAGACATGAAGAAGAAGACTTTCCTGCCCTACAAGAAGGGGATTTTGGGAGGACTCCTCTTCAATCCAACAAACCACATGCATGCCAACTTCAGGTCCTCACGCTAATGGATCAAAGATTAACTTAATCTTTGAGTATAGTTATTTTTATTTTTCTTTTCAAATTTCATTTGTTCCTTCACAGCAACATCCGGAAAGAAACAATACTTACCAAAATTTTGTCATTTTTATTTTCTGGTATGCCATCGAATAGCTTGCCAAATAATTGAATTCAAGAGAAATCTGGTAGTGGTAATAACTAATAACAATACCCTCCTCTATTGAATGCTTAAAGCAAATAAGCATACGTACCTGACCCAGCTTTCTATTTGATTTCAAGCGAATCAAATTTTATTTGATTACTAACTATGATAATATTCTAACTCAATATGAAAAGTAAAAGATGACATATGTCCGTACATTATTTTGGTCATAGTTGATTGTTTGGCCAAATATGCTCACTTTCGCCCGATCAAAGCACCTTTACATCGTTTCTTCCATTAATCTGTTGTTTGCTAAGTTGATCATTAGGCTGTAGCCTATACGGCATTCCTACACTAATAGTCTCAAACTAGGATAAGGTGCTCATCAGCTAGTTCAGGATGAGCATTTCAACCTCCAAGAGACTGTATTCAAACGTAGCATGACTTAGCACCAGAAGACAGGTGGGTAATTAGCGGCAGTTAGCCGAAGCTTGCAGATTTATCTCCGATACCATGCCACTGGTGAGACGGAGTAAGTGGTTGCTGTGGGCGCTGATAACTGATAAGTGATAAACACTTATTTTCACGTATCGACTAAGACAAACTCTATTCCAACTCTTGTATAGCAGACCACCGGCATGGCTGGTCCATTATGGCCAAGCCAATATCCTCCATTGACCAGTTGTTAGAGTARCAGGATCCCGTCTTATATGACCTTAGTTTGCAATTAACTAGGGTTCATCAATTAATATAAACAACTACAGACAAACACAGATGTGGAATTTCAACCATAGGACATGAAATTCCTCAATAAACTACACCTACTTGCTTTAGCAGTGATAGGTTCTACTTTCTATACTCGTAACTGAAGCTTGTCAAGCCATTACCCTCACAAGTTAACTCAGATCTAGGGATGCAATTGCAACCACCTGCATTCTAGGAGTTAGTCTTCAGATGTTTCTTTGCTCTTGTCCTTGCTGGATTTCTGCCCTTGAATGAGAGTAAAGGATATTCGGTTTTGGTCTCATAGCCTGTCCAGAGATTTCTCTTGCAGCTCCTATTTTTCTCTTCTTGGTGGGTCCACCCTTCCCAGAGGTTCTCTGTTCTCCTTGCTTTGGAAGGTTCGAATTCTTAAGAATGTCATAATTTTTGCCTAACAAATCACCCATGGGATGATTAACACCATGGATTGCATACATAGATTGTCTTCTGTTCTGCTAGGGCCTCAGTGGTACAGAGTGTGTAAGAAGGCCACAGAAAGTCTGGATCATGATCTTTGGTAGTGCCAGTTTGCTTCATCAATTTTGGATAGATTTTTAGGGACTTTTCATATGTAGTTGGCTCGTAGTAGCTCATGTAGGCTTATGATGGAGGAGGTTTTGTTCCATCCCGTTTACATGACAGAGAGGCATTTGGCAATTCTTTTCGTGACTTTATGGAATATTTGGCTAGAGAGAAATAAGTGTCTTTAGTGATAAGGAGAACTAATAA